AAGGCTTGGAGGTAGGGGCGGGTTAAGGGAGTATAGGTATTTGAAGTTTACGTTCAAGAGGTTGGCCTACCCAAGGTGGAACCAATTTGTACCCAAATGGGAAGATACTGGACCAAACTGGATTCTAATCGGATCCAAGTGGGTTCGAATTTGGACCTAATTGGGATGCAAGTGGGTCCCAAGTGGGAACAAGTTGGGTGGTTTAGGGGGGCAGGTATTGACGTTTAGGTCCAAGAGGTTGGCCTACCCAAGGTGGAACCAATTTGGACCCAAAGTGGACTCTTAATTGGATCCAAGTGGGTTCCAGTTTGGATCTAATTGGGATCCAAGTGGGTCCCAAGTAGGAACCAGTTGGGTTCCAAGTGGATCCAGGTTCATCGTATTTGGATGCAAGCTGCTTCCAAGTTGGATCCAATTTGGACCCACTTGGGATGAAAGTGGACCAATTTTGGATCCAAGTGGCTCCCAAATTGGAACCACACAGGTTCCAGGTGGATCCAGAATCATCCGAAGTGGGCTCCAAATTGGGCCCAATTTGGACCCACTTGGGATGAAACTGGACCAATTTGAATCCAAGGGGCTCCCAAATCTGAACTCCTCGGGTTGCAAGCGGATTCAGTTTCACCCGAATTGGTTCCAAATTGGGTCCAAGTGGGTTGGACCCACTTTGGATGAAACTGGACCAGTTTGCATCCAAGTGGGTCCCAATTTAGTGGATCCAGTTTCATCCCAAGTGGCTTCCCAATTGGACCCAAGTGGGTCTCAATTTGGGCGCAAGTGGGATGAGCTTAGGTCCAAGTTGGAACCAAGTGTGTCCCAAAGATCCGGTCCAAGTTGCATGCAGTTCGATTGCATTGGGTTGAAGCTGAATTGGGAGGCTCGCTCCACTACTCGCCAAATGTGCAAAATGAGAGTGAATCTTCCCCTAGAACATGGGAAGAAACGGCACCATATTTTTTTTATCTTTTCTGCATATGGAGAGTAGTGGAGCGAAGCCCCAAGTTCGGCGTTTCCGGACGATGTCGCATCCAGCAGATCCATTTTTATTTTTTTTTCCCATATTCCCCACCGTCTTCCCTTGAATAGAACGTACAGTCATTTAGCTGCATTTGGCCCACCTTTCAGTCCTGATGCAGTGAATGGCTGTACGCTCTATTCGCTTTCGAAGGTAGTTATGTCAGATGCGTATGTCTTCTGG